TAAGGTCCTGTATGACGAATATTAGGCTGGTGACACTTGTCGTCAACCAGCCGTCATAGCCGTGTCCCTTGTGTGAGGCTGGTAGATATCGGTTGCGCTCAAGACGCGTAAAATATTTCTTCATCTTATCCGGTTCCCAGCTATGGTCTCCTGTTATGTCGACAATTGTCTGCCAGTCAGACCGATCTGGCAGAACCGTGATCATGGCGTTGTGAGACGTACAGCCGCCAAAAGTCCCAGCACGAGGATAGAGAATCCCATAGGGAGTAGAGCCACGAGGAGGGTTACTTCCAACGTAATACTTTCCGGAAGGTGTCATCCAGGTCATCTTCGAGTCCTCTCTCTGCCTCTTTGGGTCATTGTAGTGGGTCACAAAGAATGACCATGTCATAGGCACATACTCGGAAGCTTGGAGATTTAAGGCGGGCACGCGATACTGGTAAGTGTCAGTTTGGTCGTCTCCGGCATCGACAAGCAATACTCGATGACCGTATGTTGCTAAGCGGGCTGCCAGGGGCCCGCCTCCAGCGCCAGAGCCAACTATAACATAATCATATTCTTTTGATGGATCGAGTGATTTGATGAATTTCCTGCTCGTGGCCGGATGGCTTAGCGGATGGCCAAAATTAACGTGCGGGGAACAAAGACGTTGACTTACGCGCTGGTCGATGAGCATTGCAACAGTACTAAAAGCAAGCCGAGAAGCGTAAAGCTGGGAGAATGCATCGCTTCGAGATCGCGCAGGGGGCCCGGTAAGGGAGCCACCGATAGGAAGTCTGCTGAGCTTGGAAGGGCCCAAGGTATACTCTGGTAGATGTTGCCAGCGGCATGGCGAGCATCCTAAATAAAGCGGTAAACTTCATGCTTGTGTGACACCATGGTTTCAATTGAAGGAGTGCTTGGTCAGGCAGCTCGAGAAAATGGCCGAAGCGATCAAGGCGATGGCTGCGCATTCCTGACTTCTCCGCTTGTCCATGTCAGAGACATTGCTACATTCCGTTACCATCTCTGCCTAGGAATGAAAGCTAAGAGGTAGGAAGATCACGGTGGAGGAGCATTTAATAGACTTCTGGGACGGCAAGGGGGACTGTTTGCCAAGGTCGACACTCTAGCAAAAGCGAGAGGAATTCAAGGCTATCGCCGCCGGCCACCCAACAAAACCTTCAGACGGGATTAAAGTCGCGATGGACGGCGGGGAATTTACAAGCCAAGGAATAGAGCGACTCCAATAGGTAAAACGGCGACCGGCACTTTGTCTCTTGATAATCAGAGTCATTGCTTATGCCTCTATTTCCACTTTGTCGCTTTGAATTGGAAATGGTGTTCTATGGCTGCTCCTTGACTTGACTTAACCATGCAAACTCCGTATATATCAAAAATAAATGTACGAAGTGTGCACATATATTGCAAGTCACTTGAACCGTAGCAACTGGCTACTGTGAGGCTTGCTTGGCGGTCTGAGGCAGTGGGGCCGGCGCACAGGGGGTTGGCGTACAGGGGGCTGCCACTAAATGCATAGGTACTATGGATAACTAGGAGCTAGTCCGCCTACAGGACAATAGTCTTGCCCCGACGGTCCTCGCTTGACACGTTGAGCCCAAATATATGAACGCCCTCCTCCTTATTATACATGCTAAGGCTTAGCTCTACATAATAACTAGGGCTACTCCGTAGACGAAGCTGCTCTATGAAATTTAGTGGCAGCCCTATAGGGCTCTTACTACCCTAGACCGCTTGGCTCGCCTTGATTTAAGAAGCTATTACGGTACGAAAGTCAGCAAGCAGACATGACGTCATGACTGAATGCTCTATAGCCCCTACCCGTGCGGTCAAGACAAATATTAATAGGGGCTACTTGAATGTTGCAGCAGGTGTGCTGTAAAAAGCAGCAGTCGGCCTTACGGTAGCTATATATCGGCGGCAAGTAAACGCAATCATATATGATCAAGCAGATATTTATAGGGAACTCTCAAGCAGGGGCTTGAGAGCACAGTGGAAGAAATAGGGGCAGAGAAAGGTGAATTTAGTCATGCATGTCTTGGTCTATCTATTGGAACAAGAGAGGGGCTTATATAGGTACAGTGACCACACATAGCTAGCCAAAAGAGGGCATTGAGATGTTCCTATACCTGAGTCAGGCCTGCATGATGTCCTTGGGCTAGGGGAGTCATGTTGGTCAGGCAGGCTTCCTTGTGCATGATTATTGGGTCTACTGGGCATGATTGTGGCCTCTTATGCCCCCTCTCCTCAACAGGAACCGTTGGTGCTACAAAGTAAACTTGGAGGGAAGTTCTTTTATGAAGCAGTGAAGCGCCAACCTTGTGCAAGCCTAGAGGGAGATAGTCGCAACAGCTACGAGCTCCTGCAACAGATGTGAAGGCGCTCCAGAAAAGCTGCCACTCGATGCGGACTCTCCGCCACTGAGGCATCGAAAAGAGACACGGGCAGCACCCCTCGGAACAAGGCGTTCGACGGACTTTCACCTGGAGAGGCCAGATGCCATCAAGCCTGCGGTGGGCGCCCCAAGAAACAGGGGATTGGTTGGAAGAGATGTAGTTTCGCTTGCCAATGCTGATCCTTAAGCAGGTTCCATCTCGAATCTGGGGCGAGAAGACCACAATCGCTGTGCAAACACCACATTTGTGCAACTTGTCAAGTGCGTGGCAGACCTGCAAGAACCGTCTAGGTTTAGCAGCGGACGCTTGCAGCCCATCCAATGCTCCTGCGCCGTTGAGAAAGAGATAAATAGGTGCACTTGAAAAGTTCACTATGATAAGCGTCAGAACATAATGTCCATAATGCTGGGTCGCTGGGAAAGCATGAAGATTGATCTGTTATGGACACTGGCATGCTTTCCGAGAAAAACCTCCGGCGAATGTGCAGACAGATATCAAACCCGACCCATGAATCTTCTGCAGCAACACAAGTCACCTTCGCATCATTTACTCATGACTCTTAATCAGGTCACGCCAGCAAATACGGGCGCGAAGAGGGTTGCGACAGCAACTACTGGCAAACCTGTATAAAGATTGCAGCCCAGTGACAGAGACGGCGCAGCCCTGTGAATTCGTTCGAAGCCCTAAACCGTGGGAAAAGCCCCGTCGCCTGAAGCGCCATCGACGTCGACTTATTGGGGCACCCTCACCACCAGCGCCTGTAACTGAGTCGCCGTCAGCGGCGGGCTCCATCAACTGACGCGCCATTGACAGCGACTTCAACTGGATTACCTTCGTCGCCAGCTCCTTCGACTGAGTCCCTGTCGCCGTTTACATCGACCGACGCACCTCCAACTCTAGCCCCCACAGGCACGGCGCCTTCCTCGTCTCAACCGTCTAAAAACAACAATCATTCATTGTCTACTAATCATGTCGTCTACCCCGTGTTAGTGGGGAGAGTCTATGATGTATGACTAGGGGCTGGATTCATCAATACGAGCTCGGAAGCAGCTCATAGAATGTCCCGAGGGCGCTATTGTAGTCTCAAGAAGGGTTCGACAAGGTGCGGCACCAGCCGCTCGGCGCTAGCCAGCATGTCCCAGCATCTGTTTCCAGGGTTCCAAAGGAAGTATGTACATATGCGTATGCAAGTCACCTACTTGGACGGATCGGATGGACTTATGTTTGCCGCAGAAAGTGACTTGAGCTGGATGGCTGGCAAGCAGTGCAACCAACTTGGTTGTTGCCATTGGACATGAGGCCACATATATTGGCATCCTTCTTTCAGCCGCTTCTGCACGCAACATCAATCGCAGCTCCAGCGTCCATCGCACCAGCCGCCTGAGCCGTGCCGTGCGCCCAGTGCTACCTGACGATAATATCATACATATTAGTTGCGATGGTTTGCGCCATTTTCCGCGGCAAAGTCCTTCGGATAGCTCCTACAAGCCAGCTAGCGAGACGTGGCGATTAGACCCATTACTTGATATGTACTGTACTGTACCTGGGCGCCAGGGGACCCAGCAGGTTCGAACTGGCTCATCGACTGGTCTTTGTTTGGGTCGGTGCACTGCCCCGTTTCTTTTGTTCGTTCAGCTGCTGCAACCTGTTCCTGCCGACTACAACTCGCATGCTCCTGGTTCACGCCAAGACCATCGCCCGGCCAGCATCTAAATCCTGAAACTGGGGAAAAACCAAACAAAATTGAGTGCAAGTTTTGGAAAATGTTGCTAATTGACTATTTCACTATATGGCGCTCTAGCCTAAGAGAAATGTTGTGTGCTCTCCGTGGACACCGCAGTTACGCTCTTTCGGTATCCATGACTGTACTGACTTAGCTGTTCTCTGTCCCAGGACTGGGTCTTGAAAGGAGGAACTTCTCCTCATGCCCCTGCATGCTTAGACTCAGGACGGGCTCCCTTCCCAGCCGCAACCAAGGATCCTCGTCGAGATCTACACGCGCAAGCCAATGGGAGCATCCGGCTACGCGAGCGGGCCCCAACCCGTCTAATCCCTGGACTGCTTGGGGTGGCAGCACAGATGAGAATGGCTACTTTGCTTTTGTTTCGCCCGGGCGCTGCTCGTATATGTACGTTTCGCATTCGCGTGCTTGCACAATGGCACATTAATAGCATATGACTTCAGTCCCCCTTGGTTCCCGGCGTTGCTCCTGAGCGCTAGTACTTTACGTTGAACAAGCAACTGTTCTTCGGCCCTTACGGACCAGTCTTAGTGTCTCAGTGATAACCTTGATGCCCTGTGCTGATGCTTTTCTTGGACACTCCAGCAGCCGACCCACAGAATCCTTGAACCGGATCGGCCAGCTCTTTGGTAGCCAAGTCGGTTGATCGACCAGATGCAGTCAGATCCTGCCCATTACACGCAAGTTCGGTTTATGGGGAAGAGAGTAGGGGCTAGCATAAGCCATTTACACGGGTCTCAGAGTTTGGGTATAAATGTCTGGCCCTTCACCCATAAACGACTCTTCTTTCGACCATATTTCTAGACAAGTCAGACCTGACATCCCGGCCCTTACAAACCCATCTCGGTCTTTCGTACTCCATCATGAAGTTCGTCACCATCGCCACCATCTTCTTGGCGACAGGCCTGGCTGCGCCTACCGGCGAAAACGACAAGGACAAGGACAAGAGCGTGTACCGCCCACCGCCGAGAAACGAATATCCCCAGCCTCCGAGGCACGAATATCCTCAGCCGCCCAAGAAGGAGTACCCCAAGCCTCAGCCGCCCAAGAAGGAGTATCCCAAGCCTCAGCCGCCCAAGAAGGAGTACCCCAAGCCCCAGCCGCCCAAGAAGGAGTACCCCAAGCCTCAGCCGCCCAAGAAGGAGTACCCCAAGCCCCAGCCGCCAAAGAAGGAGTACCCCAAGCCCCAGCCGCCCAAGAAGGAGTACCCCAAGCCTCAGCCGCCCAAGAAGGAGTACCCCAAGCCTCAGCCGCCCAAGAAGGAGTACCCCAAGCCCCAGCCGCCAAAGAAGGAGTACCCCAAGCCTCAGCCGCCCAAGAAGGAGTACCCCAAGCCCCAGCCGCCAAAGAAGGAGTACCCCAAGCCCCAGCCGCCCAAGAAGGAGTACCCCAAGCCTCAGCCGCCCAAGAAGGAGTACCCCAAGCCCCAGCCGCCTAAGAAGGAGTACCCCAAGCCCCAGCCGCCAAAGAAGGAGTACCCCAAGCCCCAGCCGCCCAAGAAGGAGTACCCCAAGCCTCAGCCGCCCAAGAAGGAGTACCCCAAGCCCCAGCCGCCTAAGAAGGAGTACCCCCAGCCTCAGCCGCCCAAGAAGGAGTACCCCAAGCCCCAGCCGCCCAAGAAGGAGTACCCCCAGCCTCCCAAGAATGAATATCCCCAGCCTCCCAAGAAGGATGATTGATATTGGCAGATGGAAGATGGAACGCACAGGAAAAAACTGCTATAGCCACGTTACGCGAAGACCATGTATCTCTCACTAGCAAATTTGGATATCATGTCTCATATCTCTCATCTAATGACTGGTTGTTCCGCCCTTTGTTCCCTTAATAAGTGCCTAACTAATATGTGCCATTGTCCTCGAGGAAAATCTAGTTGGCAGCTGCAGTACTTGGCAAATGCTTACACGAACCGGCCAACCAATGATTCCTTCTAATTCGCTCTGCACAAGTACACAATCATACGTCTCTGAGGAGTGTAACGGGTGGCGATGACAGGACTGCCACATAGGAGCTTAGCATGCGAGGAATATTCGTAGAAGGCAAAGGGTTAAGTATGACACCAGGGCTTTTTGTCGCTGACTGCCTACAGCATAATGAGAGCAACTTTTGCAGCTGTTTCTAAGAAGAGCGGTTTTCTGACTGCAATGGCTTTACACTACAGAGTATGGAAGCAAACCACAGGAGTGGGCAGGAATTACACTAACTCTCTCTGTCCTCTCTGTCCTTCGTTATCTTAGGACTTGAATGCCGATGTTACATGCGTTGAAGATGCTACTTAACAGGCAGACAAAAAAAATAATCCGTTAAGAGGGCGGGCACTACCTTTACCATCAGAGCGACGAGAGAGGTTATTATCAGTACACGTGCATTTCAATCTCCTTAGCTGCTAATGGTATCTGGGATGGGGTCTGCGGACACCCTGGGTCAGTTTGACATTCGCGCTATATCTGCCTTGGTCGGTGTTGGGCAGAACATGTGGGATCATGTCTTTTTCGGACCTTCATATGCTGTTACGTTTCCTACGCTGAAAGATATCCTCAACCACCTTCTATGGCCAATTATGCTTTCAAAAAAGTAGACTTCCAACATCCAACGACATCGAGTTTCTTGGCTGGGAGAAGCTACCCCAGAAGTATCGCCGAAAGTTCTCCCCCGAGACCTACGAGCAGCTAGCAAATACCCAGACGACTTGCTGGAGGTCGAATATCTCGGAGCGAATGGCTGCCTCGGCAACTTCAACTGGCCCAGCGCGCAACGGCCTAATAACGACAGGAATCACGCAACTATCCTTCGCGTTATGGTAGCCCCATTGTCACGCCGCCACGCGGCAATGTAGCCATACGCTCGGCCTCGTCACTCGATAAACCACTCATTAATCCGAATTGGATGAGCGCTAGGGGTGATCAGGAAGTGGCGGTAGCATGATTCCGGCGAATGCGAGGAGTGTGGAGGACCCAGGAGCTTCAGTCGATTGTAGTCGATGAGGAGAAGTGGCCGGGTAAGGGAGCTAAGTGGGATAAAGATATCCTCGAAAATATACAGGACTTGCTTATGACGGTATGGTACCCTGCCCGTACTTGTAAGATGGGGAAGAAATATGGTAAAATGGCGGTGGTAGACCATCAGGCTCGAGTGTTTGGGGTCAAAGGTTTTAGGGTCGTTGATGCAAGTGCTACGCCCCTTCTCCCTCCGGTCCGTCCACAGAGCACCATTTATGCTCTCGTGGAGAAGATGGCGGATGATATCATTCACGGGGGTCGCGAGGGATAGTGACAAAATTATACTTATACTTAGAAACTTTGAGTGTACAGATTGAGCAAATCTAATTCATAGCGACTCATAATAGACTTGATTGATCTTGAAATATGTCTCAGACTTGACCATTGTGAGTGATGCTCACATCGACCCGCTTGCAGATGTTCTTATGGTTTGGCTCAGTTGTGTTGTTCAGCGGTTCACCCCAGACTTCGATATCTTTCATCCGTACATCCTCTATGATTCGTTCCTCACTCTCGTTGAAGGTAAATTCGGTGATAGGGTTCGCGGTAGGGGGACCGCGACCTCGCCAACTGCGCCCGTTTCCGCCGCCGCCGCCAAACGTTCGGAAATCGCTCGGCGTTCTTTCCGCCTTCTGAGCAGAGCGTCGTGAAGGGAGCGAGCCAAGCACCGAACTGAACCAGGTTTTCAAAAGCGGAAATATCATGGGAAGGTTGGTAGTAACCACGGCGAGGAAAGTTTCTCGAACAGCCCACGAGCCAGCGAGTTGTGCACCATTCGTGGCATCCTTAGTGTACCAAGTTAGGGACTTCAGGAGTGCTCTATGATACTTCAGCTAGTAACGGAGATCCAACTCACAGTGACAATCAGAATGCACCGTAGTGTGGCACATACGACCACAAATAAACCCCCGCTGAATAAGACCATGAGGCCCAGCTTCCTGAGAGGTCTAAGCGTGGATTTCCAGAGCATTGGCAAAGGGATAGAAATGAGATATAGGTCGGTGAAGACATTGAACGAAAGATAAACCCAAATGAGCTGATTAGATATCGCAGGTTGGCAAACATCTATAGCCATTAGTACGACATTGTGGTTCTAAACAATAGCCATGGCCACTCACTGCCAGGGTCCGGGTTGATTTGCCAGTAGTTGCGAAACGGGCGACACGCGAGGAACAGATTTGCTACTACTATGATCCAGCTTACAACAAGCAGAAAAAGGCCGATGTAAATACGGATCAGGTAATGTTTATGCAGGCCGGCCTGTCTAGAACGTTAGAAGTCGATCTTCTATAGCCAAGGAATACTGCAACGTCTTCTCGTACTGTCAATCGGGTGTAAAATATTAAAAGTGACGCTTTAAGCGCCCAAAGCAGCGTGGAGTAAGTCGACCATCCGGCAAGTTGAATCTTTGAGCCGATGACCCTGAGCGCAAGCAACGACAACAAAGGTAAGTATGTCTAAGCAAGATCTAAGTGTTCCGAGGTGACACATGCGTGGACGAACCTAAGTTGGTATTCAGGATCGTCCGGCGAGAGCGCCACTCGCTGCTCATCCGTCATGCCATTATTGGCAAGCCCGTGGGCTACATGGCCAACGCAGAAGGCAAGTATCGTCTCCGCGACGTAGAGAGTCTGTGCAATATTGAGCGAGCTGACGCACTTGGAAGAGCAATATAAGGGAAACGAACCGCAGCAACCCAAACTAGATAATCATCTGCCTGAAGGCCTTGACACCCCACAGCCCTCGTCCGAGCGTATGTTCTGAGCAATGTGACGAGCACACCAATTGCAAGAAGCGTCCATGCCTCCGTTGTAAACTTTGTGAAGGCGGCAGCGGCGGCGGCGGCGGCCTCTGCATCTGGGGCGTCGGCCATTCCGTCGTTAGTTGCAGAGACGATCGACAGCGGCCATGTGAGCCCGACAGAACGGATGCTTTGCTCTTGCAGGACTCGTTACTTGGCTTCGGGACTTTATTAACGTCACAGTGTCCGCTTATGTGTGCTATCGCCTCCAATGCCCACGTATGAAAGGTGGATACCAGCTAGAGAGTGCTTCCGTTTGTTGAGCGTGTGATGAAAATGACACGGCCTGCTATAACCCAAACTGATCACCGGAGCAATTGCACGTAGGAGCAGGGCAACCCATGTTGCATTCGTTTATACGCACTATGGCTATTAACATTCGATATTTATCGATCTAATTTACGCGGAATAATGCGCAGGCTTTTATCCGTATATTATTAAGATATTTCCAAGACGTCATGGGAGGAACACTTTCGCACCAGCCCTCCTCTTAATATCATGCCCCCTCTTTTCATTTAGCCTCGGGTAAAGAGTATTGAGCTTGTAGATATTTGGCCGGTCCACAAATCTCCATTTACTGTTTCTACCGGTGCTAGCATCGGCCTCGGCTACTCGCCAAATCTAACAACCGAGGACCTATGGTAGGTAGCGTGTAATGGCCCTGATGGGATGGTAAAATTTCACAACCTCACCAATACTCATCTGCATGACTTTGAGTATCTACCTGTGTAGGATTTTTATGCCATGTTGGGCGGGGCGATTGCGCCTGCCCGCGCGCCATGTTCCCTGAGATCCTCTTAATTAATAGACGGCCTACTCTATATAGGTGTACCAACAGTCTTCTTCTCGGGAGCTGGTCCTAATAATAGCTGGTTACGTAAGTATCATAGAAACATTCAAGGGCCGCGGTGTCGGCGTGAGGTAAAATACTTCGAAAGATGAATAACGTGGCTACGAACACCCGGACCGAAACGTATTAGTTCATACCCTGCCTATAATTCAACTCGGAAAGCTCTGGTTTAGAATCATGTGCTACTACATAAGGAACTCACTACGGAGTAAAATCCACACAGTCTTGGCAGTGGGGAGCCCCAGGTAGTATATGTGGGCTTTAGCACGATTTCTACGTCTTCTCTTATTAGGCCTCAACCGAAATTTTCAAGTTTCTACGGTACTCGCTGACGACTACCTTTCGCACTCTTGGAGTTCCTGCCTCCAAGTACTCGATCGTAGGGAGTCCCCGGCAATCCAGTGACTAACAGAGAGTTGTTGACAGGTGTGGATGAGACTCGGCTGTCATTACCATACATGAGTCGCGCGTCTGCCATCACAGTGCTCATTTTAGTTATTTATGCCTTGGGACGAAATGGCCTGATCGGTGGAGCAGATGGGTAATTCTCGCCGCGCGACAAGCTAGGCTGGTGTTGCTTCAAGTGAGTAAAGTCCAAGCAAAATATACGGACACTAGATACTGCGGTTCCACACTTCACCGTGGTGCTTAACGTCGGGAGCTAGGGGTGATAGACGAAGGTGAATTTTTTGAAGATTTTGAATGAAGGATGAATCAAATGAATTGAATTTTTTGGATCTTGATTCAAAATCTTCAAGCTCCAATTTTCGCGATTCAAGTTGGGTTTGGGCCAATTCAGGCCATTCATGAATAGTTTGAAGGAATCCCCTAAACGAAGTGAATTTGGTGTGTACCTAAGCGATTGCAAAGATACCTCGAAAACGCCAATAAGTAGTATATGGTTTTATAGCCTTCTGGGAAGTCTCTCGATAATCTCGAATATTACAAAAATTAACTTACATAAATACTGATCCGCCCGTCCTAGGCAAATGGACCGAAAATAAGCACTTTCAAAAGCTCTGCCGAATCCTCAAAATATATCGGTCCAACGCGTTCGAATCCGCGATTGTACACAGTTACACACTTGTAGAGCCTCAATCCTCCGAAGCCTCCATTGTATCTGGACAGGGGGTTGATATCGCAGACTTATCGGCTTGGGAGGCAGGAGGTTTGGGGGGTAGGAGGTTCGGCGGGAGCCTCGGTAGTAGCCTCGGTGGGAACTTCCGCCGGAGCAGGGGGTTGAGGAGGAGGATTCTCGCCTGAACGCAGATTAGCATATACACAAACAATGAGGGTATATTCACACCATCTACCAGCTTGCCCGGAAATTGGAATGTGGTCTGGTCTTCAAATAATAGAGCGTGCCGTTGTTGGCGGCGTTGTCTCCCGTAATGGCGAGAAGCTTTGGCTTGAGCCTGAGCTCCTCAAGTGTCTTCTCAACTATCTCGTGTTTGCCAGTGTGAGATTTTTTGAGCTCGATAAACTCAATAACCTCCTCTCTCTCCTCAAACTCCGGCGTAATCCAGTGCGTAATAATGGCGAAAATAGGCACCCGATTCGGTGCTGTCCAGATATCAAGGGTGAGCGAGATGGTAGCACAATTGTACTGAAGCTCGATCTTCAGCTTCTCTCTGCGTTCCACAAAGTCTGTGTAGATGTGATTGCGTAAGGTTATACGGCTCCTGTACACACAGGTTGTATTGTGAGCCAAGAACATCTCTTGGAAAGCAGGAGTCTCAAGTTCTCAACAACAGAGAAGGGTTGTCGGTGTTTTACAAACCACTGGCGGATAGACTCCTTTGCCGTGAGCCTTGCTCTTTGCCTGGGTCGACCGCTCCATGCATCTACCTCTGTATAATCTCCTCCACCAATGGCGCGGCCGTATCCATTGATTCGACCGTGGTGAGACTCCTTCGTAATACTGTGGGATTTTAAATGGTCTCCCATGCCAGAGGTAACCCCTCGGCGGTTCGATTCAAGGACCTGGAATATCTTCCGAAGAGTAGAAGGATTTTGAAGGCACTCTATACAAGTCCACCGGAACTCTTGGAATATTTTCGGTCCATCCTTGTACTCCGAGTAAAAGCTTCTGTCTATGGCTTCCCTCTGCATGTACCAATAAACGTGGCTATTCTTGTCTCTCTTCTTGCGAACATGCTTCTGTTTGTTGTCGGCCCACTTCTTGATAAGTCTGGCTTTCTCTGCGAGCGTCATGTGACTACCGGTACTGTTCAATGGCGGCTCTGATGTATCCGCGTCAGGCATGTCATCATCTGACTCACAGTCAGGATGGCCCGGGGGCGCGCAGACAATCGTATCTTTGCCAGTCGGAGGAGGACGAAGGAGCCGGAGTTGTGCTAGGATCAGGGCGCGCGCGCGGATTCTGAGGTTGAATTGAGGGCGTTCAATGCGGGCATAACTCTGCGTTGGCAATTTACGCCGGGTCCTAGGAGCAAAGAAATTCGCTGCGGCAGCTGTTTTCGATTCAGCAGGGGCCATACTATGTATCATGTTATAATTAGCTATCGGTTGGACAGTAATGAAGTTTTACCTGGTCTAGGCTAAAAGGCTCGAGAATGGACGTGAGACAGGTAGTCGGGACGACACCAAATAACCCACAATAAAGTATAACGGAGTCGAGGTTGAACGGGTGGGATAGGTCGTCGGGCAGGACGTTGATTCGGGGGCCGACCCGAAGCCGCTGTCGGAAACATCGAAGCAGGAATTAGGCGAGATCGTCGTAAAATAATGTCGTGGCAGTTGTCGCGAAGACCGTTGCCCAATGCAGGCAAAAATGTGGGATGGGCTGACGACCGTGTCTTTCCGACAGTAGAATTAACAGGTGGTCAATTGAGCGCGAATAACGCGTCTAAACGCGGCTAGTTGGCACAACATATCCTTATCATGCAGATGTTTCGGTACTTTCTGATCGGGCTAGTTTGTGTGGACAAGCAAGTAGCAGTCATATTGGGCTCGATGAGTAGATAAGTCCCTAACAGTCTCCAAATCGCGAGATGACGCAATTCGTGTCACGTCAATTGTTCGCGCAGTATTGAGACGTTGAGGATCTGAACGCGTTTTTCTAATCAGTTTGCCGGAGGCTGTTTAACGGTATAAGTCTTGTATTATATTTCAAAAATTTGGGCTGCCGAGCTTAATCTGTGCTTGAGATGTAGTTTTGCAAGTAGCAAATGACCGATCTATTTATTGCCTTCAGGATGATGTGGCATTTCTTGAGCAAATGTTAAGCACAGATATCGAGAGTTATATCACCCGAACCAGAAAATCCAGAACATTCGAGTGATACTACATTTAAATGGTGTGCATTATAAAATGGCACTGTTCATAAGCTTCATGGTTTTTGATACTCCGTATAGGGTGGCAAGACTGCTGAAACGGTGGGCGTATCAGGCACTGTTAGGTCGTTATACCAACATATATGGACGCCCTAACTACCCCACTTCCAACCCACTGGGATTTTCCCAGTGGAGTGTGAACGGCGGAATCCAACTGAAACACGCACAACAGACTTTTAAATACGCAGTGCGTCATCGCATGGGCGGCCGATTTCGAAGTTACCATGTCCGCGCGGGGCGAACCCCTTGCTCCTGTCAGAACGGTGGTTCTGTGGCGTGCCTAATGGGGAAAGTGCATTGTGGAATCTATTGGTATTGTGGGAATCATGCTCGTCAATTGTATCTAGATCACACGGTCAGCATGTGGCCTTAGGGTCACGTGTGCGGCTGAGGCTTGCGTGGCTATATCTTCCACGCTGGCCTCTCCTCCTAGATAGAAGACAATCCTCATAGCATAATACGACACACCGGTTGAACGACGTTCCCAGTTTGTCTCATGCTCGAGCCCTGCCAACAGGTATGATAGGGTCAAAGCAGCTTGTTTCTTGATGTGTACGTGTGTGTCTGCTTGTTGGAACGGCGCAGCAGGAAGGGCGGCATGGGTCACCTGCCAGGTCACGTGGGGCATTCAGCCGAGATTTCTGCGGGCCCAAAGGGCACATTCCTAGCCGGAAGGGGCAACACACACATCGCCTTTACACACACACAGCCGTGCATATAGCTCCAATTGACCTCTTCTGTGTGCCCACTATCGTTGCCACCTTCCTCATTCGGACGAGCCGCAGAACCGCTGTTTCTGACACTGCTCAGAAAGAAAAGGGAGGCCCTTGGTGGGTGGCTTTGGGCATTAGCCCATTCCTCCCCTGTATGCCCCCTTGGCTGGCAGCTGCGAAGCGGGGTGATCCTTTTTTTCACCGTATATTTCGACCATATCGCCATTCATTCAAGATTTTGATGAATGAATTGAATAAAGACTCCTGATTTTTGATTCATCGAATTTGAAGACCTTACCCGATTCGGCTTCATTCAATTCAAGGGTCCCGAGGCCGATTCGACTTCAAAATCTTCAAATATCAGCCCTATCGGGAGCCCATGCCTTGGGTTAAAAGTGAACCAGGTCGGAACAAGCTGGGCGCCTAACCCCTGTCTGCGCTATTAAACCTGAGCCACGGCTCAGCCACGGCCGTATAGCGAACAAAGCCTGCCCTCTGAACATCTTTACTGCAGCATTGATGCCAACTCGGCCTCTGCCAGCTGACACAATGGAGTCGCTGGACTGTGTAGTTGTCGGCGCTGGTGAGTTTGTGCTTTCCCCACCAAGTCGAGCATCGAGGACGGGAGCCAAAAAATGCCTCGGGTACACTGACGAGTCGGAGCTCGGCAGGCTGGTACGGACTGGCGGCTGCAAAGCAGTACCGCTGCGTTCGGCCAGATGACAGCATGGTTGTTCTCGACTCGCAGTCTTCCCTGGGCGGGACTTGGGCAGATGAGCGCTTGTATCCTGGCTTGAAGAGCAACAACCTTCTGGGAACCTACGAGTATCCGGACTTTCCCATGGACTGTGACCGTTTTCAGATCAAGAATGGAGAGCATATTCCCGGAGAGGTCGTTAATGCTTATCTGAAAGCGTACGCAGTCAAGTTTGGAATCCATGAGTGCATACGCCTCCGCACACGAGTCACAGTCGCCGAGCACCAGCTTACCGCTGGAGGGGGGTGGATTCTGACCACCGTCGATATCAGGGGAGAGGAGCGCAAGGTGTTCGCTCGTCGACTCATCATTGCGACCGGTTTGACTTCGGAGCCATTTATACCACACATGAACGGGCAAGAAACGTTTGGTGGCAGAATCTTTCATGGCAAGGATTTTCTCCAGAACAGAGATACACTGGAGACGGCAAAGGCCATCACGATTGTGGGCGCGTCCAAATTCTCTTGGGATGCCGTCTATTCATACGCCAAGGCTGGGGTCCAGGTGAACTGGGTTATTCGCTGTACGGAGGCCTCGGCGATGTGCGCGTTGCAACGCCAGCTGCTAACATTGAATAGCGTCTGGACATGGCCCGTGTTGGATGTCACCTCCATACGTCACGCCCTTTAAGAAATGGATTGAGAAACTTGCAAGTATGTTGAAATCTTGGAACATGCCTCGATTCAATACTTGTTCTGACACTATGGCGCTATATAGACATACGCTTTCTGACGTGGTTCAGCCCATGCATCTGGGGTGACTTGGACGGCTACGCTGGTGCTCGCCGCCTTCTTCACCGCACTGCCATCGGGAGATTCATCGTCGACTCATTCTGGAAGGTGTTGGGAAACGATGTGTTGAGTCTCAACGCCTACGACTCGCATCCGGAGACGGCCAAGCTGAAGCCCTGGATTGAAGCTATGTTCACTGGAACCAGCTTTAGTATTCTCAATTACGATGAGGACTTCTTCGACTTCGTGAAATCCGATCAGGTCAACGTCCATATCGGTGAAGTCGATCGTCTTAGCCCAGGCAAAGTGCATCTCGCTGACGGCGCCGCGCTTGAATCGGATGCAGTTCTTGCCCACACGGGCTGGAAGCAAGTTCCGCCCTTGAAATTTCTTCCAGCGGGGGTTGAGAAGGAACTCGGGATCCCCCATCTCCAGGAGGAAAATGCTCCGAGCAAGGACCTTGGAAACCAGACGGCCCTCCTCCAGCGAGCAGACGAGGAGATTATGATGCTGTTTCCCCGACTACAAAACCAACCTGAGTGGACCAAGAACTACACACCACTTGTCTCTGACGAGAAGAGTGCAAGTGTCGAGAAGGCAGCCGCACCTTGCAATGCCCTGACATCCTACATGCTACATCACTTCATCGTGCCGCCATCAGAGCGTTTCTTACGTGCCCGCGACATAGTTTTCGCCGGGATGGTGGGAAACTTTAGCAACACTCTCACAGCGCATCTGCAGGGCCTTTGGATCGTTGCTTATTTCTCCGGGGTTCTCGAGAACGACCCTGCATCCGCTTTGGGCGACGAAGCATCCATGGAAAAGTTGCAGTACGAGACAGTACTGCACAATCGATTTGGAAAGTGGCGCTATCCGGCTGACTGGGGGAACAAGGCCCCGTCTTTTATCTTTGATGCCGTCCCGTACCTGGATTTGCTGCAACGTGACCTCGGCCTGGATCCTCACCGCAAGCAGGGCTTCCTCTCTGAGATTTGGGAGCCTTATGGCCCCGAAGACTATCGACACATCAACAGCGACTGGGAAAAGAAGTACTGGGCGAAAATGCATAATCCTTGACAAGAGGAGAGAGTTTCGTCTGGATCCAATGAGAGACTCATATAAATCTGGGCCCAAGTTATCTATCCACCCACTTTCATTAACTGTACACCCAAAAAGTGGATTAACTGTGGCTGACGGCCGAAGAGGGCCGATACCGCCAATTTGTATGCACACATTCTCTACGATAAGTAGAGCCAGGTAGTAACAGTTCTCCTTCAACGATAAGGCACCCAAAATTGAAGCTATTCGTACTGCGCTTTCTATGCTGATGAGACTATTCTTTGGTGTTTACAACAGGCCTCCTTCTTCGAGTGCACTACGTGCCTGATCCGCTTCATCTAACTGTGATTCCAATTGATCCCATACATCCTCAAGGGCGGCATCGTCCGTGAGGCCAGCGACGAAGATGCAGTCTTGGGTCTCCCGCCGTACCGGCTGATCGTCATCATCAGAGACTGGCGTTTGACGCCCGGCTTGTTGATACGCCCGTTGCATCCGTGTGCCTGCCTCGTACGTATCGCCGTTTTCCTCGATGTGCCGCAGCCCTCGTTCCGTTGAAGTCATCGCGGCCGTTACCGTACCCGTCATCGCCGCTGGTGCCGTTGAGGAGGAGGCAGTCGTATAGCCTCAGCCCGCTCATGCCGTTCAGCGATCTCGTGATGTGACGGATCCCGCCGCGTTGATCTTGACCGCCGTGACTCTTCGAGGTTGAGTGAGCCTTGGGGCGGCCCTTAGCCCTGATAACTTGTGGCTCGTATGGTGCCCGAGTAGGGCTTGTGCCCTGAGCGCTTGTATCGATCGGAATATACCAAAATGGGTCGAAGTCGTCGAGTGTAAGGGAGGTATTGGTGTTGATAGACTCGAAGATTCGATGGCAGCACGGTAGCCCTCGACTAGTAGCCCAATTACAAGGACATTGACCTGGCGGCGGTTTGGCCCGTTGACTTCGGGGTCTAGAGGATCTTGCGATGCTCATCTATTAGTAGCTTTAACGCATATGACGATACTCGCTCGCGGATCGGCATATACGGCGCCTGTAGGAGAACGTTGATATCTTGTGGAGGTTTCGATTCTCTATCGCTGTGATCTGAGCAGCCTGATGGCCCCAGAAGCGTTCGAATCGTTGGAAAACGGTCGTCAAATCGCCCGTACAGGACCAAAGGAACTTCTTCATATGAGAGTGAAGTCCTCGACGATCGAGGTCGTTGTACGCCCGAAGTGGCGATATTGATTAACGAAACAAGATACAAACTTCTCCTTCCAAGGCGTTAGCCACGTATTGCAACAGTATTGTATAGCTGCAAGCGGGTGGCGGCCTGGTGTCTCAAATTGGCGTAAACGTTCGTTGAAGCTATTCACATCTTGTGACTTGACGATCTCGTTCCACTCTTGTAGAAACGCTTGGAATGCCGGGGCCCGTACGACTCGATTGCCGATTTTTGATGCCTTAGGAAAAATTGCTTGCATTTCGCAACGACATTCTGGTTAATATGCCACGTGCAGAGAAGGTTAGTACTGTTTTGAAGCTCGCGAAAGCTATCTAACGCCTTAAGCAACGCAGTATCTCGGTCCGTGACAGTGACCCTTGGAAATGGGATCGACTCCTTCTCGCAAAGGACTAGCAGCAACGAGATAGCCCAATAGTAATGGGACTCGGTCTCGCCGTTCAAGAAGATAGAGGCAATAGAGAACGTTTTGTTATCTCGAGTGGCCGCGCAGATATTCAATAACGGCATATTGAATCGGTTCGTCTTGTAGGTACAGTCGAGGACGAGGACATCGTGATGCTGACGCCATCGATGGAAGGTAGCACGAGGCGCGAGAAATAGCCCAGTTAGCCGGCCCTGGGGATCACGACTATCTCGATGAAAGAAGTCGGACTTATCTAGCCGGCCGTAGAGAAACTGAAGAGGCGTACGGCCAGCTAGTTCTTCCTGACGGTGCCTAGCCAAGGCGTTACTCACGTCTTGAGCCGTGATACCGGCTAAACGAGGATCGTCGTGAACCAGGTCACGAAGCTCGCCAGCAATATCGGTCGGCCGGGTATTGTTATTAAACTTCCGGATAATGTCGTCGCGATACTTCTGGATAACAAGCGCCCGGTACTTCGGAAAGACCATCGGGTCATCAACAAGGCGATGATTGTGAACATCGTGAAGATAAGAGATAGTCCAGTAACCGCGTTTTTCCTTCAACGAGAGGCGAAATTCACAGTCTGTTTTCTGGGTTGCTGTATTGAGGCGACGACGAGAGATATGAGCAGCTTTATCCTTCCGATTTTCGTAGGGGCCGGCCTTGATACAACGAACAAGTGCAGACTTGCGTTGGCCAGCGTTATCCCGCTTCGATGTTCGAATGTGTAGGGCGTAGCCCTCAGCCTCAACAACGGTATCGGCGGCTTCCATCGCGGCCTGGAAGGTCGGGAATAGTGTCTTCGTAAGCGACTCCATGATTCGGGCTCGTAAGGGCAGAAAACGCGGTGCGAATAGCTTCAGTTTTGATGGTATTGCTGATAGTTACGGTTACAGGATGTTGTTACGCAAGCATCACGAACTGGCCAGCTGGCCGGCCGGGAATGGGCGCACCAAAATTAGCGGCATCGGCACTGCGCCTGACCCAGCCACAGTTGATCCACTTTTTGGTGTACAGTTAATAAAAGGAGGTGTATAGATAATTGGGCCCTAAATCTGGCCATTAGGGGCCCAGCTCATGATTCAGCTGGGTATATATGGCATTCGAGTAATATAATTTATAAACTGTCTCATCGATTCTAAAGGCTAAATTATCAATTCTCAGAGCCAATCGCCTTCGATGCGGCACCAGTGAGTGTTTTCTCGGGAACTCTGTGGGACGAGTGCGGCAGCCATGCCGTAAAACCTTGACAGGGGAGCTTCTTTGTAGAGGTAGTTGTGCGCCACAGTTAGTTAGTCGCGGCGTTGGGCTTGTCAGGGTTTACAAGGGAGAGTCGCCTGCCGTATTGTATGTCCACCTTGCGCGCCAGGGTGTTAATTAAGTCCATTCTCGAACAGCCTGTTACCAAGGTTGGAGGACCCCGTGCGGGTGTTCTTCACCTTATTGCCGCCACGCTTCCTTGCATTCTCGTCAGCCGCGTCGACCACGACGGCACCTTTAATCATCCCTCCGAGCCCCTTCTTCAGCTCGTACAGTTTCAGAGTGGCCTTGTTGGCCACGCTCTTCTTAAAGTTGGCGTCGTCAACGCCGTCACCCCGCATCCGCGGTTGTGATTCTCGCCGCATCAGCCCGAACTTGTCGACTGTCTCACGCAGCGCAAGGAAGCTGCCGGTGCTCTTGGTCATTTGATCCCGTCGAGGAGAAGGTTGATATCAGAGTGTGCACGCCTAGGTAAGTGCTCCTTAGGCCATAGAGCGACGTGAATACACAGATAAAATACTTCGTCACGCCTTGCACTTTAGACCAGTGGTGCAAGGCATACAATCAGCCGAAGGCTGCAAGTCTGCTGTCAACGGTAAGGCAGGCCTGAAAATTCAAGAATCTACAGTCATGCATTCATTGCGTCATCTACGTCTTGGTAGCATCAAGTGGAGTTACGTAGCCCTAGCCGTTCTTATACGGATTCTGAGTGAGAACCTGCCAACTCCTAAATCTTTGGTCCCTCATCTTCATCTTGATACCCTCCGGGGGGGATGTGTATGTCAGATGATTGCGGTCGAACGGGGCATCGAGCATCAACCCCTGTAGCGTTTTTACACGCGAGACGGCCACATAACTCAAACCTGTCTGAAAGTCACGGCAGGACAGATCTGTCACGATCCTGTCTTCGGTGATGCTCTGCGACTTATGAACCGTAATGGCGTAGCATACGACCAGGGGAAACTGAGTGCGAGTGCAGAGTGTTGCTCCAACGAGGAAATCCCTTTTTACTGCCACAATCGGGACAATCTTCCTACCATCCGCGGTGGTCAGGAATGCCGGTCCGGTATATTTGTCAAACTCCATCATGATTACACACGGTTGGTCTCGGATGGGATCAGCGCCAGGTGCCCAGCCAATGTTGTGCACTGTGCCGCGAGCGCCGTTGCAGAGGCCAACTTGTTGCCAGAGGTTGCACGTCAGCATTAAGCGGGCACCAATGCATACAGGGACCTGTTTCGCAAGGTTGCCCGCCTTGTCGTCCGGAGCAGCAGCCGCGCCGGGGCCAACATTTGTAGCGATGACCTGAATGACTGGTCGGTTGAGGCGGTCAAGGTGGTAATGGTTATATTCGTTCACCCGGTCTTTCGTGGCATATACCCGTAAGGCGTTGGCGAACCTGGCGACCTCCTGATCGTCTGGCTTTGCCTGCACGCGGCCGGAGAAGTTTCCAGGACTCGTGGGATAGTAGGAGCGGCCGCAGTTCTCCGAGAGCCTTGCGAAAGGACGCCTGATCATCGCCGCACTGCCGCTGAACAACGCTCAGGAAGACGGTCTTATCGAAGCGCATATAAGCGTTCCTTCCTTGATCTCCACTCCCTGCACCTCTTTGTCGTAGTACAGCGGTTTCTGTAGAACAGGGGGAAGCTGGAAGAAGTCGCCGACCAAAAGGATATTGAGTCCGCCAAAGAACTCCTCGTTCCGATGCGGAAATGCCTCACGGAGACGGTCGTCGATCCAGGATAGCATACGCAGTCCCAGCATACTCTTCTCGTCAATGATTAGGTACTGAATATCCTTCAGCTTCTTCTGGAGCTGGGCCTTGTCGATGGCGGAGAGCGGCCTGAAGTCCTTGTTGATCGGGAGGTGAAGCAGCGAGTGCAAAGTAGTGCCTGATATCTGGTTCCCTGCGACACCCGTCGGTGCGGCACGCCAGACAGGTGTCACTCTCCCGCGTGTAGCGGCCTGGAGGTGCGCCGAGAGCAGGTTGATGAGATATGACTTGCCTGTGCCACCGCCACCATCGACATGGAGTAACAACTGGGAACGGTCTTGGGCGAGAAAGTGGCCCATCACCGTGTCATACACGATGCGCTGCTCCGGATTCAGGGCATCGCGTGCTTCCAGAGGCTGGTGCTCCACATCAAGGGAAAGGAGCTTTCCGCCTTGCGTTGCTCCCAGTAGTTGCCGCTGAGAATATCCTCGTTGGTATATCGTCCCACGTGAGCCCAGTCATAATTCACGTCGATATTTCGCCGGCCAAGTACGTCGATGTCCTCTTCCTCCAGCGGCCGGTCTGGCAGCATGCGGGCGAGCTCATGCCAGTCCTCCTCTGCGATGGGCTCGTCATGGACCTCCTGCTCAAACTCATCGTCCTCCGCCTGGAGCTCGTTTGTTCCCACCTCCCCGTAATGGTCGTCCTCATGGAAATGGTGTCGCTGCCGACAACACCGGTACGCCGCAACAAAGGACTCAAACCGCTGCCCGTCCACAGCAAGCAACTCCTCCGGAGCGCGATGCGGATGGGCCATCATCAACTTGACGCGGCAGAAGTCATGAAACTGGGTTGAGGTTTCCACTGGCCTATACCGAGGACAGTAGGACAGAACCCTCTTCTTCGCGTTCGCACCGAGTCTCCTCCATGTCTTGAGATTGTACGACTGCAGGTACTCGAGATAAGTAATACTCTCATGCTGGTCATTTCTCTGCAGATATTTCCGGTAGCTGCCGACAGCCTCACTGACATCATCATCGACGCGGTACGACCGCGCATGCTGCTCAACGGGCGGCAGTCGACGTACACAACCACCCGAGTCCCTTCCTGCAGAGGGATATTGAGTAGCAAGTGGGAGATTTCCTGCGCTGAATAATCTCTCTCCGCAATCAGCTTGTTCATGAGGCGAGAGGAGAAGGACAACAGAGGTTGGTGGTGTGCTGTATGCGGCAAAATCTGATCCGCAAGCCTGCAGTAAGGCTCTGTCTTCTTCTCCGATTTGCTGCAATACTTGGCAGCGTATGTAATGACTGCTTGCAAGCTGGTGCATGGAGATATGTCAATGTTGGCCAACCATCCCAGAATGATGGCAGGATTGAAATGGTTCATGAGGCTGTCGTTGCGGGCCGCCTCGAAGATGTAGTACGACCTGCCTTCCTTCCTGATGACCGCGGCCAGCTCTCTCAAGGCACGGGGGAAGTCGAAACGACACTCCCTTTCCGGATTCGCCACGTTGGCCGCCTCAATGTCGCCAGCAGCTCCTTCCATGTCCCTCGCGAGGTCACCGCTTCCCTTTCTGACTCGCAAGCAGTACGTGGTATTGCATCTGTGGCGCTGGCAGCGGTTGACGATTTGCGAGAGCCGCAGGAATGTCATCTCCACGCCCAGCGGATCCACGCTCAGCGGATTGCCCTCCCCCTGAGGCACAGTCCTACGGGCTCCGGGTTCACGGCCGTGACGTGGAAGCCCCATACGCGTGCAAACATGTCACGAGCAGCTTCGTCCTCCATGTCGGCGGCTGGGCCCTCCTGCATCCAGTACAGACCGTGGTTGTGCGGACTGCCACGGCCTTGCCATTCATATCGATCCCAGTAATCCGTGACGTTGAACTTTTTCCGCAACACGATATCTCGAAAGAAGCAGTATCGGCGGTAGAAGTGGAAAGCAGCAATGTGAGGGTTCTGACGCAATAAGTACCGCGACAATGCCATCCTTTCCGGCTCGGACGCGCGCAGCCATTCTCCATATCGGGGCATGTGTTGGTAGAGGCTCCGCCAGTGCAAATCGGCTGGGCTAAATGTGATAAATGCGCCAGGACAGCCCAGGCTGTACGCATACGCCTCGAGTCCTGCCTCTTTCTGTTCCAAAGGGCGCGTACCGCGAATCGACACCGCATGCCTTGTGATTGAGTTTATCAGCGCCTGCGCCTCAGGATCCTCGCTGTGTTCGAGCGCCTGAATAAGCTGCTCTCGCGTGAGCGCTTCACGGTGCCATCATGTTGCTTCACGAAGAACTTCGACCGCGCACGTGCTTGGGACCGCATCAGGGTATTGAATGCGACAAAACGGAAGGTTGGGTGCCGCGCAAAACGCCCGTCGTGCCACCGCATCGCGTGCTCGATGTAATCCTTGTAATCTATCGACCGCAAGCGAGGCTCGACAAAGTCGGCTCTCCCGTCTGGGAAGAGGCATGGGAATGCCAATGAGAGCAGGGCATGAGAGCGATTGAACTCATTGATCGGCGTATGCCGTATATTCGGGAGCCGCAGCTGCTGGTGCCGCGCCCGCTCTTGGGAGCCTGTGGCAAGAGGAAGACTTGCCTCCGGTTCTGGCTCGCCCACGAGAATAGACCGCAGAGCATCGAGCTCCGTGTCCTTGGTCAACAGGTCCGGTACCGCAGCCGCGTCCTCTAGGTCAGGCTCCGCCTCCTGATCTTCCTCCTCCGGTCTTACATCGGCAGCCTCCACCTGGCTTTGGGAATGGCGTCCACCACATTGCCGTCCTCGGGCAGTTGGCTCAGTCGCTCGTTGTCGATGACGATGCATCGGTATCCAGGATGGTGATGGCGGAGGTAGTCAAGCCATATCATAACCGCCTGGCGGCGCACACGGAACTGACGGGTAAATTGCCGGCTTAGATTGGCGTGTGATGACGTGTTGGCAGGACGCAGCAACACCGTGTTTAACTCCCGTGGCAGAAGTGGGAGCTGGTTGTACACCAAGCCAACCTCACGAAGAAAGTGAACGACATGCCCCCGATACTTGTACTGCTGCCCTCGCACCAGCATGATGTTCACATGGACGTGGACGCGAGCGATCAATGACTCTTCTGTAGGCGTGAGCTCAGGCAATCGTGTCGGTACGGGACCAAAGTCAAGTTGATTTTCGGCAGAGAAGAAATAAGGCTCGTCAGAGCCGCGCTTCTCATCCTTTCGATAGCAACGCGAGCAAATGCCGTCATAATCAATTCCCATCTGAAACCAACACTCGCGACATCGGCTGCAGTATTCCATCTAATCATTGTCAAGTTTGGTCTCCTCGCCACAGCGAATGCATACGATGGAAACCACGCCACCTTGAGACCCTCGATGAGGCATAGGGTTCACTGCGGTTGAAAGCAGCTGCGTACGATGGGTTTGTTGGCGACCCGCGATGCTCAGAGTAGCTCTGTGACATTCAGGGCAAGTGCAAAATTGGACCCACTTTTAGAAGGCCATCATCCAGTTGAGTTACGTTTTAGAAACCATACAACCAATCAGATGTCAGAAAACTTAACTGATCCCTGCTGCACCAAACCCTCATATTTGGGAAAACTTATTCGATTAATGTAAAGTCAGCCTACGGCTGAATGAAGGTGAGATGCTTCTGGGTGACATCCTTTCCCGCCACACATAGGTCAAGCGGGTATAGTACCCGAACTCTCTGCGCATCGATCTACTGGAGCCGTAATCGAGGGACGTTGCTCTTGACATTGCTGGCACGCGCAACGATGTATTCCCAAACACCATCCTTTATTACTTGGCCGACACGTCGCTGGCTCCTCGCTCCTTTCCATAAGCATCTTTATGAGATAGTGGGCGCCCGTGTCGTACGGGGGATATATGGCGATGTCGCTAAGCGACTCGACCAGGAACGAATGGTCCCATGGGAGTTTAGAGCCTAGGCCGCACGATGAAAGAGCTTTAAACTAACTCTTGTTAGGGTGCCCTAACACCCTCACGCATCACCCCCCGTCGTCGCTGTTCCCGAACGATTCGTAGTTGAGGTATTGCTGGTCGAGGAGCCCAGACGCCGTCCAGCTCTGCTTAATTGAAGGCGAGGCCTGAGTCGACCAGCTTTTGCGCACCTCGACTGGCACGTTCTGGAAGTCCCTGTAACTCATTCTGCCGCCGTAGAAGCCTTTCTCGTATGCTACTTCCCTGGCTTGCGGCGACCTGGGTTGTTTGGGGGACAAAACTTCCCCTTGCTTGGCTAGTGTCGGCGCTGGGAGGTTGCCATTGCTGGTGTCTCGACGGTTGGGGAAATGTCGAGCTGCGCCCGTTCCTTCTGGATACCATGATAACTGACTGTCAAGCTGGTAAAATACCGCTACACCATGCAAAATGAGGGCACCCCCAATAGAGGTGTTACTAACGCGTATTATAGGCCCTTTCTTGTCCTGACACTGACCTTGTTTGCCAGGACGTTTATATAGGGGTAGGCAAGGGTTCAGAAGAACTTGAGCACCTTGACATCCTAAGCCAGCTGGCGACTAAGCTTCTTGGGGGGCCTGGGCGAGTGTAGAAGCGTCAAACTCGAAGTCGCTGGTGGATGCATGGGCTGGTGTTTGAGATTTCAAGCATTGACAGACTCATCGATACTCAGCGAAATGGCGCGAGTGCTTTAGCTCGCGCCTCCTCTTGCTTCGTTACTTTGTTCTCTCGTTCACACGCGACCTGCGCGCTGTTTGGCATAACCCTATACTTGAAAGCGAGGCCGACATTCCCTCTCTCTTTCTTGTCCAAGACTGTATTGCGCCTATTCCACATCGATACTCTACTGTAGTTTAATCTTAATGGTTAATCAATCTGTAGTTCATCACTGGGGGATGCTATTGCAGGCATACGAGCCCAGGCCGCGACACGCCGCCTCGAGTCTCTTCAACTGTTGGAGCACATACTCTTCAGGTCCAACACCGCTCTGCCCTCGATGACGTTAGACGCACTAATTGCGAGCACGCTCATATAGCGCTGCATTTTCACCCGCACTGGCCTGTAGGTGATCGGCTTGTGGCTTCTGCGCTGCTGCGAAATGGAGTCTACAGAAACCAGTTTGAGACCAGGATATCAAGAGGGCTGCTATCATTCAGTCCAGACGGGCCTCGCGACGACTCGGAACGGAGTCTCTTTGGCTACTCTTATCACGACATACCTAAGTACGATGCTTTCGACCTTACGTGAAGGCCCGATGGTCCGCGCCGAGGTTTGGGTCCTGTTACTCCATGCTGAAGCCCCACATTGACCTTCGACGGATCCCAGTCTGATCCTCCCCACACCCGGCCAGCCCAGGCCATGTAACATGTTATCTCCCTGAATCGCCTCGCCGACGCCGCACGCGTGATGCGAGTCACAACCTAGACCATGTTGTTGAGACACAGGTTCACGGGGAGATTTGCTTGGGTCGTGACTTGGAAGCCTCGATGGGCGAGAGGTGGGATAGACATTCGGGGGCAATACGCAATAAGTACGAGATTCCACTTCAATTCCCCGGTGGACTTCGAGTACAAGTTACTACTGTGTCTTGTGACTTTCGGGGGTCCCCGTATGCTATCACTTGCTGCTGGGGTGGCCAGTGGTCACCAGTACTTGGATGCTTGGGCAATCAGGTTCACGCCCAGGAACTGGGGAAATGACGATGCATGGAGAGACACAGGAACTTACGAGAGGAGCTGAACCTGCTTTGGCACGTGCTGGTCAAGTTTAGCCAGGTTGTCACAAGCAGTGTCAGAATGTCCCATCTGCTGTACGAGTTCCACTCGGCCATGGTACATATATCTGCTTGACGGTACGTGTGTTTGTGAAATGCCCGTTCCGGAACCGGCATTGATTGAGTGATATGCCAGGGTGTTTTGCCGATATGGTCGAGCCTGCACTATATATAATTACGTACAGCATGACGGACCGAGAATTATTCTTGATTTTCAATTTTAGCTCAACGAAGAGAAGTGAGCCGCCGGAAAAGTAGTGACATGCATTTTGTTGATATCCTTCAAAGTTCATTCCATCTCCTTATCCTGTCTACACGGAAGATGGCCTTTCAAACTTCCTAGACCCGTGAGCGAAAGATATTGGGACGACGACTGGCAGACGAATGGAGGACGACTACTGCCTCTATGCCTGCCAGACAAGGCTTCTTGATTTGGATGGGGGCTGGGTTACACTCAACGAATTTGCCCAGAGGATCATGCGACCATCTTTCAATCCAACCGGATGATGCCCGCACTAACCATGATACTGGATAAATCAAGGCCGATATCCGGAGACTGGTGTGACATGGGTCAAGTCCCGACCCCCCGCACTACTCCCATGATCCGGCGAGCGCTCAAATGTTTGCGAGAACATCATTGCGACATCTCTCCCTAGCATACACGACGACACGATTCTCACACTCCTGAACTCCGGCCTCCTCCATACCCGAATTGACGCGTTTCTCTTTACGGGACTTGCTTCCACTCAGACTCTTCAGCCTGCTCTGCAAATGGCGGCAACTGAAGGTGAAGTTCAATCCCTGGGGGCAAATACCTTGCCGGGGTCGGTCAATCTTCCTGTCGCACGGCTTCCTTCTGTATCCCTGCCCGCTTCGGTTCAGCCAGCCATAGAAGCTGGAGCAGTACTAGAAGCGCTGAACCAAGGAGTGTTGGGTGCCGACTATAGGGCTGTTTCGGCCTGCTTCGCAGAAGAAGGCTTTTGGCGTGATCACCTTGCTCTTTCGTGGGAGTTTCGAACAGTCCAAGGACGAGATAGTATTCTGCATTTCCTAAGCGACTGCGCCACGTCCAGGGACGGGTTTCGACTCAAGGAATTCACTCTTGACCTTAGTTCCCCGTGGCGGGAGCCCAAAATAGCCCCGATTGATGGCGATGAAAACGTTAAGGGAGTTCAGGCCTTTTTCCAATTCAAGACCGTCATCGGATCGGGCAAAGGCCTCATGCGACTAATCTTTCAGCAAGGAAAATGGACGATTTTCACGTTCTATACCGCCCTCCAGGCTGTTCAGGGACACGAAGAACATGTTTTTCATCGCCGCCCCCGGGGAGTGGAGCATGGCGAGAGTCTTGGAGGGATGAACTGGATGGAAAAGAGACGTGTTGAGACGGAACTGGAAGACGACTGCGAGCTCGCTGTTCTCATTCTCGGTGAGAAGTCAAACCTTTTGATATCCAGCCTTCATTATTACGTGAGTTGCAGTGCACGGGGTGGCCATGCTGACTCCAGGCGAATCAGGCTCCGGCCAGGCCGGCCTGACCGCGGCCGCGAGGTTAAAGATGCTGGGTGTCAATTCCCTCATCATTGACCAGAACGACCGTGTGGGGGACAACTGGCGAAAGCGATACCACCATCTCGTCCTCCACGACCCTGTATGGTACGACCACATGCCCTACGTTGCTTTTCCTCCCCAATGGCCGATCTTTACACCCAAGGACAAGCTCGCGCAGTTCTTCGAGGCTTATGTGGATATTCTCGAGCTTAATGTCTGGTTGAAATCGACGGCTACAAGCAGCAAGTGGGACAAAGCAAAAGGCATGTGGACCGTCACCGTTGAACGCCGAATGGACGACGGCTCTACTCAGACCCGAACGTTGCGCGTGCGCCATATAATCCAGGCAACAGGGCATTCCGGCCAGAAAAATGAGCCACAGATAAAGGGCGCGGGGACATTCAAAGGGGACCGGATCTGCCACTCCTCCGAGTTCCCCGGCGCTCAGCCAAGTAATGGTGAGAAGAGGGCCGTGATTGTCGGCAGCTGTAACTCGGGCCACGACATTGCCCAGGACTTCTTCGACAAGGGATACGATGTCACCATTGTGCAGCGGTCGAGTACTTGTGTCGTGTCTAGTCGCGGGATAACGGACATTCTACTCAAAGGGCTCTACGTAGAGGGCGGACCACCCGTCGATGACGCCGACATGCTCACGCAAAGCCTTCCGAACACCATTCTCAAAGCTTTGCATTGTCAAGTTGTTAATCACCAGAAAGCGCTCGACAGAGATACCACAGACGGGCTGAAGAGAGCTGGCTTCAAAGTGAACTACGGCCCGGATGAGGCAGGACTGTTCTTCAATTATTTACAGCGTGGCGGAGGCTACTACATCGACGTCGGCACGTCTAAACTCATTGCTGATGGAAGCATCAAGGTCAGGCAGGGCCTGGAAGTTTCCGAGATTCTACCAGATGGCATCCGACTCGCCGATGGGTCGGAACTTCAGGCTGACGAGGTTGTTCTTGCCACCGGATACGACACCATGGAATCACAGACGAGAGTGATATTTGGCGATGAGGTGGCAGACCGCGTATGTGATGTCTGGGGTTTTAACAAGGAGGGCGAAATGCGAACCATCTGGCAGCAAAGCGGACACCCGGGGTTCTGGTTTCACGCGGGAAACCTTGCGCTCTGCAGGTACTATTCCAAGCTCCTGGCTCTGCAGATCAAGGGCCTCGAAGTGGGCTTGTACCGCCACGGACAGAAGTAGGGGTTCAAGGTCAACCAATTTCACTGTTTATCTACGAAAGTTTCTTACTACTTAAGAAGCAACAATTTGTCTGGAATGGCGATCAAGAAGACCTGTCTTCGTCAGTGGATAACCCCTGATTGGTGCTGGCAACACCAATGAGGGACTCAGGTCAACAACCGTGCTTTGAATACCGAAACGCAGTGCCTCTAGGATTACTCTGCTCGACCGCCTAGCATCCGGCTTGCGTCGAGTTTGTTGAGTACGCTTGCATAAATACTCGACGGCATGCATTGAATAGAAAGCCATCGAAGACGCCGCGAGCCGCAGCCGACAACTATCGGGGCAGACATACTCGAGCAATTGGCCTCCACCTACTGCATGTGCCTATCACCTAGATATATGGGTAATTGCAACTTAGCAGATTTCACGAGGGAAACAAGATTAATGCACAGTCATCTTTAGGACCACTACTCCCCGCTTGTCGTCTTAGTGGGAGACGCATGCTAATGGCTCGCGATGGGAGTCGTCGTTGGCAACTCCCAACGCATTGAACAGGAAGGCACTAGCGTCAGCATCCCGGATTGCGGTTTGAGCTCTCGATGCGAAGCCACCTGCGCACCTGGATGGCCAAGTCCCATCGTATGCCAATGAAAGAGAAGGTTGGTTTGATCCCAGGGTCCTCCGGGTCTCTTTTCGTCCAAGTGTTATGCATGTGGCGGACAAGGAACGCGCGGCTCTGGAGCTTGTTGCTTTTGAACATCGCCGCCGCCGCTGGAAACAGGTTCCTGTCCTGCCTATCAACGTCCCGTTCTCGCTGTCTTTATCTGCTTAGACCTTGATGTCCCACTGAGGTCAAGGGGAGACCATCAAGGTGCTGCCGATCGCGGCGCACGAGTCAACGGGGCAGGCGTCTTGCGCGGTCGAGGTGAGAAGTCGACCATCCGTCCTTTGTGCTTGTAGTTTTGCCGACCAGCTTTTTCCTCTTAGTCCATGACGAGGACCGCCTATATAGATTACTGCCGCCTCAAAGCCGCGGGTCGCTTGGCCACAGTCGACGGCAGCCTCCCCTCTGCATCCTCGAGCCCTGTTGCTCGTCTGAAAGATCAAGCGGCGGCCAGAGGCTCCACATTTACCCAAATGAACATCGGCCGAGACACAATGGAGACAAACGAGGAGGTTTACGATGTGATTATCGTGGGGGCAGGTCCCTGCGGCCTTGCCACGGCAGCTCGTCTCTGCGAGCACACCCCAGCTGCTCTGTTTACCGACGAGGAGCATCGACGATACCACTGGATCGGCAAGCACGGAGGCAAAGTGGCCCTAAAGCAAGTACGCAGTGGCAAGACAAGGGCTGCAAATTGCTCTGCACAGGCGAGATACAACATGCTTGTTCTAGACGCAACGGACGACCGGTGGCTCGGCCGGTGGAATAGACTCTTCAACGCCTATGACATCTCTCACCTACGCAGCCCCATGCTGTGGCATGTCGACCCGCTCGACCGAGATTCGCTATTGGGTTACACGTACGCGGAGGAGCGCGAGCGCGAGCTCGTCGAGATCCGGAACTGCGTGGGCAAAGAAATAAGCAAGCACGCTCAGAAGAAAAAGGCAGGGAGCCGAGTCTGTGGGAAAAGGCGAGTACAAAGAGCAATGGACCCAATTTGATACCATCGACAAGGGCTGACAAGGGGAGGAACGCAGGCAAGAAGCGAGGGTGGCCATCAACCTGAGAGAGCGAAACGACTACTTTACCCCGTCCAAGTCGTTGTTCTGCGACCACTGCCAGTTGGTGGCCAAGCGATACGAGCTCGAGTCGACGATATTGCGACAGGAGACTCTGGGAGACATTGAGTATGGTGTTGTCAGGGAAATCTCCGTTGACGACGAGAAGCTTTTTACTGTCACGACAAACTCCACACGCCGATATGCCAAGGCCGTCGTGCTTGCGGTCGGCCCGGCCAACGTGGCAGAGATTCCTCGTCTGCCCTCTATGACGGAAAAGGGAGACTTGGCCTCGACACGCCAAGTATGCCACAGCATGCACATCCAATCTTTCCCAGATCCCGTGGTCCAGGCAAGAATGGACGCGGGTCGGACGAGCAACATTCTCGTTGTCGGAGGCGGCCTCACATCTGCACAGCTGTCAGATCTCGCTATTCGTCGAGGCGTCACAAAGGTGTGGCATCTCATGAGAAGCAGATGTCGCGTGAAGCACTTTGATGTAGATTTGCAGTGGATGGGCAAATACAAGAACGCCGAGCAAGCCCGCTTCTGGAGCGCCGACTCGGACGATGAGCGTCTCGAGATCATCAAGAAGGCTCGTGGGGGAGGCAGCATCACGCCGCTTTTCCAGAAGCGACTGAAGAAACACGTGGCGTCGGGGAGGCTTGAGTTGCGCGAGCAGACACGTCTTGCAGACGCAAAATTTATGGAAGAAGAGGGGATAGGCGCCTGGGCCGTAACAACAGATCCTCCAGTCGAGGGCCTCCCACTATTTGACTTTATCTACTTTGCAACCGGCATTCAGACAGATTTTTCGTCCCTTCCATACCTGCGCAAGATGATGGATAAGTACCCTATTCAGGGACACGGGGGGTTACCGTGCCTCAACGAAGATCTGATGTGGGCAGACGGTGTGCCTTTGTTCCTAGTTGGGCGATTGGCATCGCTTAGGCTGGGACCAGCCGCGCCAAACATTGGCGGTGCCAAGCTTGGAGCCGAGAGAGTCGCGTGGGCTGTTGAGGAACTTGTTTCCCAGTCCAAGCAGGCTTGCGATCCCGAAGGGGAGGGCGAGGGCATCACAACTTACCTATCTGGTCATGGAAACATGTTTAGCGCCCTTGCGGCTTGTGAATGATGCGAATTTATCGACTAATTAGCAGCTAAGGAGTTAGCTCATGGGAATACATTGGAGACAAGGGCTTTTTTTATGCTTTTAACACCGCTGCCAGCAACTATTCCCCACGGCACCATATTAAACACTCGAGTCTTTAGATTCTGTTGAATGGCTACAGAGGCCTACGTCTTCCTTTATTTCTTTTGGATGAATCTATATTAACTAGAGCACGATCAGCTGCTTGGAACTTAGCGGTTAGTGCTACCCCTTATAGCAAGCAAGGGTAAGCCGTGGGGGTTATTAGACAGTTTTATACTCCCAACGATTACTGATCACCAGACCGGTCCCAGTGGTTGATTCCCTTAGGAGCAGCGTTCTCATATTGCTTCCAGTGGCTCTTCCTAATAGAGCCCTGAATTTGACCTGTTATAGCCAGTCATATGGCAGCCAAGCGAGAAGAGCAAGCTTCATGTCTTATGGACATCTCCATCGTCGCCTCCCTAAGTAATCTTGAATTCCTTCTTAGCACTACCGGCTCAGCATATACAGAGAATACCGTCATCCACATCTATCATATTGACTTCGGAACCACGCGGGCAAAAGTGGATTGCACGATAAAAATCAACGCTGCGAGTGACACGTTACAGCCTGCGTTTGGCATAACCCCCCCACTGTCTTTGCGTGCAGCGTCTGAGATGTTCGCAGCTACCTATGCTAAGTGTCTCAGCCTGCACTAGACTTTTTGTCTCGTAGTTAATTGCGGGCTCGTCGACAGAAGATTATCTATTTCTGTGGCGAACTAAGACTGGAGGGACTGGTATAGCTGTAGACATAGTCATACAGCCACTGGAATCGGTCTCAGTTGTCCATCAAATCCGGTTTCCTGCGACTAGCCACCATTATGTGTACTTAAGAATAGCTATGCTTCATTCGCCGGATATTTGAAGCGTCGACTCCCTCTATCGATACTGCGGCTTCGATCGGGATAGCCCGTGGTCATTGAGGGCTGAGCCCAGTCTGCTATTTAAGGCCAAAGTCGCAGCACTCAGCCTGACCTGTCATTTGGGAACATAATTCATAATTCCTCCCGAGTTCCAATTTACATCTTGTCGTCCGAATTTGTGACTCTCACCTCTTCGATAGAGTTAATACTTATTTAATAAGAGTTAATATCAGTAAATTTTGGTGTTATTTCTTTCTTTCTTTCTGACTTCCCTTCTTACTATATCCTACAACGAACGGGAGCATCATGTTGTCCAAGCTGGCTCTAGCCGCCGCCACGGTGCTGGTTACCACCTTTTTGGCCAGTTCTGTCCTCTCACCGACGCCTCGTATGGGCTTCAACGACTGGGCGCGCTACCAGAACGATATCAGCGAGCAACTCTTTAAAAAGGTCGCTGTGGCTATGTCTGAAAATGGTCTGCTCCAAGTCGGCTATAATCGGATCAATATCGACGACGCTTGGGCTTCGATTCAACTGGTTGCAAACGGATCTATGGTCTGGGGCCAAACCAGGTCCCTAGTGGGCTCCCAGGTCTCACGTCCTACCTCAAGTCCAAGGGGTTCATCCCGGGTATTTATTCTGACGCCGGTACCAGTACATGCCGCGGTTTCCCTGGCTCTCTAAATCACGAACGAGTCGATATTCAAGACTTTACCAACTGGGGCTTTGAGTTTCTTAAGATGGATGGATGCTATATGACCAATACCGAGGCAGCTTACCATCAAGTCTATACTACATGGCATTATATCCTTACTCAGACTGGTAGATCTATGATCTTTCTAACTCTGCCCCATGCTACTTCTCGCCCAATCAACCATCTCGGAATTTAACCGACTGATAAACCGTTAATGGCTGGGCCTCACAGTACGGACAGATGGGGCGGGACTCTGCGGATATCGTCTTCTATACAGGGCGCAATGCCTGGGGTAGCATGATGAATAACGATAGGATGAACCGTCGCCTAGCTCGGCACAAGCGGCCTGGCTACTTCAACGACCCCGACTTCCTTAACGTGGACAATACAACCTACACCCTGGATGAAAAGATGAGCCACTTCACCCTGTGGTGCTCCTTCTCCGCGCCGCTGATTATTAGCGCCGATGTAACCAGCCTAAAGGTATTCCTCTTATACGTAAGGGGGATACTAGCGGCTAAGGGATACCAGCTGTCTTATATAGATGACTTTAGTGTCTCTATAACGTCGACCTCGGCTAAGAAGAACGTTCGGCAGCTAGAAGCAATAGCTGCTAACCTATTCGAACAAGCTAAAGACTAAGGGGTCTGCTTCGACCCCTTAAAGATAGAACTTATCTACTTTAGTAGGCAACGGCAGCCTATTTTAGAGGGTATAATAGTAGGAGGCTTATTTTTCGAGGCAAAGCCCTTAGTACGGTGGCTAGGGGTCTTCTTTAATTCTAGGCTCCTATTAAAATAATATATCGAGAAGAAGGTAGCCTCCGTATAAGCTGCCTTCGAAGGACTATCCCGCCTAACCTCTACGTAAAAAGGCCTATTATTTAGAGCCTCTAGACAGCTCTACTAGGCCTACGTAACCTCTATAGTAGACTATAGGGCCTAGCTTTAGTATAAGGGGCCTAAGACCCCTAAGAGCCTAATAAAGCCTTTTTAAAGGCTTTAAAACTAAGCTTTTTTAAAGGTCTTAGGGGCCTTTAAAGGATCCCCTATTAGGGCTTTAAAAGCCGAAGCAGCCCTACCGCTACTAGAGGTACGATTTAAAAGGGTATGCCTCTCCTACGCCCTTTAGACCCTATACTTCTTACCTAGTTACCCTATAAAGCAGGCTTATAACCTAGCTATATAGGACGACCTCGCTAACTTAGGCTCTAACCTAGGGGCCTTAAGCTATATTAAGCTATATATATAGCTCTTCCGCCTCCTTAAAGGCTTAGTAGCTCTTATAAGACTTAATTATAACTTAGAAAGAAGGAAAGCTAGCTAGGAGCCCTTATAGGCCTTAGAGCCTAAGGCCTTTATTATAATAATAAAGGCCCCTAAGCCCTTAGCTAAGAAGTAGTACTAACGCCTTATAGCTAGCCTAGCTAGCCTAGAAGACTTTAGGTTATAGCCCCTAACTTTTTATACTAACGGCTCTAAGGGGTGCCCTAAGGGATCTTTTATAGAGACTAACGCTTACTCCTTTTATAAAATAGGCCTAGAAAATAGGCCTATTAAAGCGTACTATAAGAACCTAGGGCCCTCGATTAAAGTAGCTAATATAGAGCTATTTACGATACTAAGGGTCCTAGAAGACCTAGCTAGGAGGCCTTAGCCCTTAAGGCTTAGCCCCCTTAACCCCCTTATAGATACCTATATCTTTATAGATAGCTAAGCCGCTATAAGGAAGGTTATAAGTTTCTTAGACCTAGCTATATATATTAAAAAGATCTTATTTAGCTTAGAAGCCTTCTATAATATATAGCTATACTAATACCCTAGCTACCTAAGGATCTTTAGTAATAAGCTTACCGACTAGCTAGCTAAAAGAGGCTTAGGGGCCCCTACCTAAGGGACCCCCTTAGTCTTTATTAGCTACTTATAAAGAAAGGTCTAGTAAGCTACTAAGGACTATTAAAAGGGACTCTAGGCTACTAAGGAGGCTAAAGGCCCTAAGGCTAAGGGCCTAGGTAAATACTATACGTTTATTCGAAAGACCCCTTACCTAGCCCTTAGCCTAGAAAAGGACCTTATAAGGAGGCCTAGGCCGACCCTCTTAGCTTTTTACTAGCTTCTTTTTAGGGCCGGCTTTTTATTTTCCTTCTTAAAAAAAACTAATAAGGTAGACCGAAACGACTACTGCTATAGCTAAGGAAGGTATATAGTTAAGCACCTTATCTTAAGGTGCCTAAACTATAGGAGGGAAAGAGATATCCTTTACCGGACCTCTAAGAGATAGGAGGGGGCCCTTAGCCTACCTATTCTCTATAGCTCTAAGGAAGGAAGGGAAGCCCTTTTAACCTTCTTAGCTAAAATAGAGATAGGGATAGCTAAGTAGCTTAAAAAAGAGTAACCTAGGGGCCCTAGGGCCCTTAAGGGGGAAAATCACTATATAAGAGGAACTAAACTAACCTTTTCTTTATCTTTACCTTTATAGCTACCCTTTCCCTAATTAGTTATAAGCCCCTAAGCTCTATAGCTAGCTAGGACTACTAATAAGGGCCTAGGCCCCTATTAGCCTCGCTATAGCCCTAGAGGCTATATATAAGTAATAATATTAAAAAAAAAACCTGCTTAAAGGCCTAGGAGCTTTAGTATCTAGCTAAGAAGTATCTTCTCTCTATTAATTAAGATAAGCTTATATAGTAAGCGACTATTATTAGCTAAACCTTAGATTAAAACGTTTTAACTAAGCTCCTAGTTAATAGCGACCGACTCCTTACTATCTTAAATAAAGGTACTTTAACTAGCTAGCTAACTATACCTTAGGCTTATATTAGTTATAATACTAATACTCTTAGTAAATCTTATAAAAATATCTATATTAAGAACCTATAAAATAGTTAGCGGTTTAGCGTCCCTCTTAGCGCTACTAGTATTACTACCTTATCTATCCTTTCTTATAATACTATAGTCTTTTATATCTCTAAGATATCTAGCCCTATTATACCTACTAGTATAATATTTAATACTATAAGCCTCTTATATCTTACTAATATTAGTTCTTTTTAGTAGTTAAGCTAGATTATATATAGTTATTATAATAGTTAGGTTTAGGTAATTAAATAAGATAGCTATATTAACGGTCTTATTATTATAGAGTAGGTAGAAGTATATATATAGGTGCTATCTATAGGATAATATTAATAAGCTATATAGAGCTCTTTTATATATAGCTAGCCTATATATATATATATAAGATCCGGCCTTTTATATATAACTATATAGCTTAGGCTATAGCCTAAGCTTATAACTTATAATAGTTAAAGACTCTTATACTTATTTATCTTAAAAATTATATTATTAACTCTTAAAGCTTAATTAAGTCTATAATAATAAAGTATAAGATTAATACTTAGACTTATAAACTTTCTAGGAACCTAATTAATAATAGCTTAAAACGCTACTTAACTTAGTATAGTAGCCTATAAGTAAGTTAAAGTTAAAACGTATTTTACTATTTTTAAAACTAATATATAAACTATATAAAGGAAGATTTTATTTTTTATATAATATAATATTAAGTATATAAAAAGATTTTCTCTTATATAAGCTAATATATATAACTTTTTATAATTATATAACTATAACGCTCCTTTACTATATTATAGCATTTAATATTTATATTATAAAAGGGTTTAAGTATAAAGCTATTTAAATTTAGTATCTTAACTAAATACTTTATTTATATTATATATAACCTTTTTATTCTCCTTAAGATATAAACTATTTAAATAATAATAAAGTAATCTTTATAAAATTAAGGATTAAGCTTAAGCTAGCTAATAAACCGGTACTATTAATAAATATTACTTTTATTTTAACTATTACTATTACTATAATTATAGATCCTACTACTTTATTAAATAATAATAGTATATATTACCTTATTATAAGAGTATTTACCCTTAGTATAGGTCTAGGTATTAGCCTAAACCTTAGCTAATAGCGTTAAAGGGTAAGGCGGGCTATATATATAAATACGTATTTAGTATTAATAGGTATAGTATATAGTTAAATGCTATATAGCTTATTATTATAATATAATAAAAGGCACTTATAGTATATCCTTCTACCTACCTTATAATAATATAAGCTATTAATATATTAGACTTAATATTAAAATCTTAGTAGTACTAGCTAAGGTAGTAGTAGTAATAGTAGCTACTATAAAAAGAAGCTTAGTATTAATAGCTATAGTAATAAGTAAAAGAGCTATACTAGTAATACTTATAAAAAGAAGCTTAGTAGTAATAAGATAAATAAGGGCGACTTATAAAGCTATTTTACTAAATATTATAAGACTTAAACTAATAAGCGACCTTATATTAAATCCTTAATACCCTCTTAACGCTAGCCTTAATAAATACGCCCTCTACTATAAAGAAGTTAAAGTATAAAGTAGCCCTTAATAAACGGAAGCCGCTATTATAGCCTACTTATAATAGTAAGCTAAAGACCTTTTACTTTTTTATTAACTACTTAATAGTAAAATACTATATTAATAAGAAATAAGGCCTTAATAGCTATAAGGGGATAGCTTAGTTCTTACTCCTTTATACGCTACTAAAGCCCTAAATATAGTAGGTAGCGGGCTTTTAAGAGTAAGGTAAGCCTAAGAGGATAAAAGACCCTTAAGTATTCTTTAACTACTTAGTTTATACCTTTAGAAACGTATAGGAGTAGAAGAAGCTATAGGATAGGCTATAGACCCTTACTTAGTAAGAGGGGTAGTCCTTTAAGGAGTTCTTACTAGAATTTAAAGAGATATTAACCTAGGCGGCGGTAATACCGCTTAAAAGGATAGCGTTAAGCTTACCTAGCTATAAAACTTAATCTTCTTAGCGCTTTAAGAGCTACTTATCCTTATTATAATACCCTCTACCTATAAGGGCTATATAGCTTACCTTATAAAGGTAGTTTAAGGATATAAGTAAACGCCGCGCTTTTAAAAGCTATATAAGCGCTTAGCTTTAAGTAGGACTAATAAGCTAAATAGTTCCTCCTTACTTAGCTTATCTATACTTAGGCCCGCTCTTAAGTTAGCGGTTAATATAGATAGCGATATTTAGATAGCAGCTATATACTTTAAGGGGCGTAGTAATAGTAAGGCCCTAGCTACTCCGCTAATAGTATAGCTTAGTAAGATAGATAAGTAGGTGCCTTATAAGGAAATTAGTAAATAATATAAAAAGGGCTACTATATACTTTATAGTATAAGTATATATATCGTTAGGTTATACCTTTACCTCTTAGTAAGGAGGCTAATAAAGATATAAGTTACCTATACCTTATTAAAATATAATAATAAAGGAGATAAAAGAACCTTTACTATATATAAAGCGGAGGGAAAAGCTTAGCTTTAGTATAAAGATAGGCCTTAGAGCTTAGTAAGCTAATATTAACTAAGAAGGACCTAGTAAGGTATATTAAAAAAGAACCTACTTTAATATTAGTTATTATTAACTAAACTTACCTTCTTTTTACCCTTATAAATAAAAGCTATTAATATTATACTATAATTAATAAAGTAAAGCCCTTAAGCTATACTTATTAATAAAGAAGATTTACCTTAAGTATATAAAGAGCGCTTTAACTATAATAAAAAGCGCGGTTATTAAAAGTATTACTTAGGTAGCTATAAAGGTTAATAGCCTCTTATAGCTACTAATAGTATATATAGTCCCTTAGCTTAAGTTTCCTTTAATTCTTAAAAAGCTTTAGTTAATATATATAAAGTTATATTTAGTACTATTTTAATAGTAACTATAGTATATACCTAAAGATATACCTACGCTAATAGTAATAGTAGTAGCTAGATACTAAAGGATAAGGGGATCTAAGGGGAATAAAGAAAAAGAGAAAGTACTAAGTAAGGTAAGGTAAAGGTAAAGAGGGCTAAAAAAAAGGTATATTAGTAAAAGAGGATATAAAAGAAGATATTAATACTAATGCTATTTACTAGCTAAGGAGGAAAAGAGACCTCTTTTATAGACCGAATTTTCCTTCCTTCTTCCTTAGATAAATAGGGGCTAAGGGATTATCTAATTAAGAAGAGGGCTAGCTAAAGACTTTACTAAGGATCTTATTAAGGACCCTACTAAGGACCCTACTAAAGACTCTACTACGCGGGCTATATATTCCTTAGGGTATAGATGCCCCCGTTAAACTATATAAAGGGAGGCTATTATTTAGCCTTATATAGTCTTAAGTTTAGTATAATAGTAAAGGGAAAGGAGCGCTAAACGCCTTACCTAACTTATAAGTCGCTTAAAAAGTCTTAGCCTTAGTATTTATAGGTATATTATAGTAAATCTAGAAGTAAAAAGGGCTAGCTATAGCTATAGCGTTAATCTATATAGTTAGCTTAGTAGATATTAAGAAAGTACTATAAATAAAGCGCCCTATATTAAAAGAGGAGCTATAGTAAGCTATCCTACTATAGTTTTATAACTTACTACTACTTTTTTAAAAGAGTAAAACTAATACGTTAAACCCTTATAAGCTAAGTATAAACTACTTAATACTACTTTATATAAAGGATAATAGTAAGGAGCTTCCCTTACTATTTAGGCCGCTATATTATATAATATAAGAGGAACTATTAATATTAATAAAGACCTTTATAGACCTTTTTAATAAGGGATTTATTAAGGCTAGCTCCTTTAAGGTAGTAGCTTTAGTCTTATTTATATAAAAGCTAAAGGGAGGACTTTATTTTTATATAAACTACTAAGTATTAAACGTAATTATATACTTAAACTAGTACCCCCTCTTACTTATAAGAGAGACCTTTTATAACTTAGTAAAGGTAAAATAGTTTATAAAGCTTAATATTATTTAAGCGTTTTATAAGGTATAAATAATATATAAAGAAAAGTAAAAGATAGTATTTTATATAATATATAGCTTATTTAAGTAGATAGTTACCTCTTTTAACCTAGTAGGTACTTTAATTATATTTTAATACTATATTAACTAAGTACTTTAGGGTTTCCTTAGTAAGCTTATATTTATATATATAAATAATATTCTTATTAATTTAAGTAAGAGCTATAAGGACTATATATAAAAAGTATAAAAGGTATTAAACTACTTAGCGGAATATAGTTTATACTTAGACTTAAATAAGTATAAATTTAGCGTTAAGCGTATTAAATACCTTAGCATTATTATTATTATAGGTATAAGTATATAAGTAAACCTAGCTAAGATTTAAGCTATTATAAATAAGCGACCTTAATATTATAATAAGGTATTTAAAGCTTCTTTAGCTTTATTAACTATTACTAAGTTTTTATTAAAGAGTTTTTATAGATTATATTATTACTTAATAAGCTATATTATAAGGTAAGTAAAGGGTTATAATATAAGTAATTATTATTATATTATAATAATAAGCTATATAAGATCTAACTATATACTGCGCTTACTACTATTAAATATACGTTTATATATATAGCTTACCCTACCTTATAATATTATTAGCTAAGGTCTAAGCTAATACTTAGACCTATACTAAAGGTAAATACCCTTATATAAGGTCCTTACCCCTCTCTTTATAAGCGGTCCCTTATAACGTTAATCTTATACCTTAGCGCGTAGCTAAGAGGTAAATAACCTACTAATAAGCCCTTATTACTCTTTCCTCTTAACTATACTATTATTATTAGTATTAGTAGTAGTAGCTATAACTATAACTATAAGTCTCCTAGCGCTTAGCTATACGCTACCGCCTATATATAAGCTAACCTATACCCTTATTAGTTATTTAAATAATTTAATATATCCTCCCTTACCTTAT